TGGGGGGGGAGGGGGGGAAGGCCCATGTGGCCGATTATGAATCGGCCGTAGCCGAGTAGCCGATTAGGAACCGGCCGTAGCCAATTGAAATTCGGCTGGCCCCCGGCCAAAATCGGCTGCTTTGTTTGCAAAATCGGCCACTTTGTTTGCACAATCGGCCGTTTTTTTTTGCGGCCGTTTTCCGGCCGAATTTTTCAGAAATCGGCTCTTTCGGCCGCGGCCGACCGAGGAGAAGCCTGTAAGATGCGGCGGAATTAGCTATTCTCCGAGATGACGTTTTTTTTTTTTCCCATCATTGGACTCTATCGTCTGCCCCTCCGGTCCCTATCCTCCACTTATTAGCTAGACGACCCAACCGGGGTCACATAGGAGGAGGGGGTCCAAGGGGGGGGCTGGACCCCCTCCTGCGTATGTGTTTGCACAAATATGGCTCTGGGTCAACCCCATGAGTTCAGAGAAGAGAGAGCTAACCGGGCAAGGGCAAAGGTGTAGTGCGCATGTGTTGAGTGTACCAGTTCGACGGCAGAGATCTAGACAGAGGTTGAGTTCAGCATGTGTGTGCATGGATAGGTTGAACAGCAACAGCAGTGTTTGTATGCAGCTGTGTCGAGTGCAGCAGCCGCCGAGAGACAAATCAACAACAAGTTTCCAGCTATCTGTCCATTCCCTTCCTCGACGACATCCGCAAAGACAATCAAGCATCCATAAGAGGCAAGAACCTCGAACCTAGCGCAGAACCTTGGTAATGCAGGGCCGCACTGCTCTGCGTTTGATTGGGTAATTGGGTCATCCTCGGCGCTTGTTTCTTCCCTGGGTGCGAGATCCGTTGCGTTGCTGGTTGTTGTTGGCTTTAGGTTTTAGTACTGCTGAAGTCTTTCGCGTCTGCGTCATGGCAATATGTACTCGCACTTCGGTTGATTCCGGCTGCGCGACTTGTCGCGTGTGAGCCTCTCGTTCTAGTAGCCCCTTTTCCTTGGGCACGCCCATTGCCCGTCTCTCTTCTCCCTCGCCTACCGAATCTCCTGGGATTGGCCCGTCCGGGTCGTCACGGGGGATTTACCCATCTTGCCGGTTGCGACTCTTCGCCACGTACGTCATCTCCACGTGGTCACCCCGCTGGTGCACAACTCGGTGCTGTCGCCGCAGCCCGTCCTGCTGCCGTGCGCCGTGCCCGCGAGGAGATTGATACCGCCCTCTCCATACGAGGACGTGTATCCGCCGGCGTTCGGGCCGTTCCGCGATCCGATACCAAGATGG